AAAGAAATCGAGAGAACAAAGAAGATCGTCATTCATATAAACACTTTATTATAAAGTTTGTTTCCGGAAGATATAACTAGTTAATCATGATTGAATAAATTTTTACTAAATTATTCAGACTGATGGTAAAACATTTTAATTTAATTTATATTGATTTCGTTTCTCTCATTATAAATATATATATATATAGATGTACGTATGTGTAACGTATCTGTCAATATTTCTTCATGTATATATAAAAACAGTTAAAATAGTGTGTTTATAATAACCCTTTTATTACTTTTTTTCAAGGAAAAAAAATTGACTTCTTCCTATCACATACATTACTTCTCGGAAGAGATTTGAAGGTTCTTATCGATAATAAATAGCAACATGATAAAATAAAAGAAAAAGAAAAAAAATAAGATAAGACGACATACGCACAAATAAACACAGAAGGTAATGCAGTCAGTTGCTTACTATTCTATCAATATAGTGATTTTTAGGTTCGAAAAACAGCGGTAGACACGTCATAAACATATGACTACTACCATATCATTACTAGTTGAGAAAAAAATAGACGATAGAAGACCTTGATGAACATACTCTACCTTTTCGTTTCTGTCAGTATGTGGTTTCTATTCGCCAATCTTTCCTTCAATCTTTTCGCTCTTTACGTTTCAACACACGCTTGTAGTGTGCAGATATATACTTTCAAGTTAAGGAGAAGGTAAAGAGTGTGAGAGAAAGTGTCCTGTTCTGTTACTCTTCGTCGACGTCGCCGTCTCTGTTTTTAATCACATTTCACAAATGCAATTCTCACTTCTCTCGTTCCCCCCCTCTTTTTTCCCTCCTTCAGTTTTGTTGATGTGTGACATTTTTTTAGCTCACCCACATGCAGACAACAAAAAAAAAGCAAAAAAAAAACAACATTAGTCTATTGACCTTGCTACAAAATTGACACATTTTCTTTAAAAATTTGACTAGTATTGAACAGGTATGTTAAAAATATATGAACCGATCGGAAGTTTAATATGAGATTAGAATAAATGAAAGAAAGAGAAAAATATCTATATATATATATATATATATATATATATGGTGTGTATGTGTGTTTTTATAATTTAGCAAAAAAAGAAAAGGAACGCACACTTGTAATATGACGACAATATTTAATAGAAAAAAACATCAAGTAAAAAGAAAGTGTATGGAGCTTATTCTATGTTTTTTTTTCTGAGAGTAAGAAAGAGAAAAAAATTACATGTGTGTTAATACGGAAAGGTGTATTTTGTACTTTATTTCCCTGTATACATATACCTTATTTTTGATTTCCTAAATTAAAGTTACAACTGAGGAAACATAGTATAAAAAAATAATTCGTATTCGATCTTATCTAGAAAATATGATCGAACTTATTGAGAGTAAATTATAGTCGATATATAGATACGTATATTATTATGAATAAAAACAACAATTGTTCAGATAGTTTAAATTACTTTTTAAAATTATTTCAAAATATAATAATTGAAATAATAAACGAGTGAGACATGTATCTAAATAACATCTTTTTTTTCTACATCATTTCTTTTATTTTTTTCAGGTGATATCATCATTGTCATCAGAATTGATATCTAAAACATAATTAGTTCAATGTATGATTATCAATCACAAACCAGTCTCCCACCAATTCGTGCGCGTCAACAGCGACCGTCTGGTGTTCAAGTCCAACAATTATATGAGAGTAGTCCTGTTCTAGCCGCTATTTCACATCATCCATCCAATGCACATTATCCAACACATAAAATTCAACGCGCTGATTCTTCTACGGTTGTTAGTGGAAATACGACAGCAGTTAATAATGCTAATGGAACATCAAATAGTCTTTATAATCATCCACATTATCATAACAGTAGTTCACAGATCCTTAACATTCAACAACCTGTCGAACAACCACTACGTAAAAGTCCCAGTGCCGATAGTATGCTTAGTGTACAATCATCAACACAACAACGACGATCGAATATACTTGAGCCTGATACGGCTATGAAAACTTATATGTCAAAATTGACAGCTTTTGAACGACATGAAATATTTTCTTACCCACAAATTTATTTTGTTGGACAAAATGCACGTAAACGACAAGGAGTCGGTGGTGGACCAAATAATGGTAAGAACAAATCAGGAAAAAGACTGATATTTTTATCTAATATCATGATTTTATTATTTATTTAAATATCATATATTAGAAGTTATTTTCTTAAAGCTCATATATAACAATTAATATCATTTTAATATGATTGAAGTAGGATTAATCATCACAAATTTTAAGTATTAAGATCTTCTTCTTTATATAAAAGAAGACTTATTTTTTCACACAACTTCATCAATACAATATATAATATGATGATGATGTTGAAATGTAATTCATTCTTCGAATGTTATTATAATCTATACTATTCAAGTAGAGGAAGCCTAACAATCTAACATAGAATATTTTTAATTTATAAAATCATTAAAAAGTGAATATAAAGAAAGATGTCTGTAAATAAATTCAAGTGGTTATTTTTATTCGATAAATACAACTAACCTAAAAATTGAAGATGAATAAACGTTTCATAATAAAAAATATCGTTTTTCTCCTACACAATTAGTTATACTTATTTTTCATGAGGAAACGAATAATTCATAAATAAATTCAATTTAAATACTCTAAAGACATACAATTCTTATCAATATTGAATTAATCATATAAGCTTCATGAACCTATTGTATGTCTTCTATTTTTTTGACAAATATTTGATATCGAAACCTTATTGAAAATAAAAAACAAAAATAATTGTTTTTATTATGAAATATATGTATAATATTAATAATGCGAAAACATATTTTAGCAACGGAAATTAATTTTTATGTAATGTTGTTAAGTTTAATTTATCTCAATCAAATCTTTTGAAAATTTTTAACAGGTTATAAAAAAATAATATATATTTTTTGTTTCTGTTAATTATTGCATTAGTAAACGAATATCAATTCAATTTATATTATCTTTTAGGTAATTATGATGATGAAAATGGTTCATATATTGCCGTTCAACATGATCACATCGCTTATCGTATGTATTATTTAAACGAGGAAAAAAATATATGTTTTATGTCTTATTTTTAGGTTATGAAGTGTTGAAAATTCTTGGTAAAGGTTCGTTTGGTCTTGTAGTTAAATGTTATGATCATAAAAGTGGACAACAAGTTGCATTAAAAATAATTCGTAATGAAAAACGTTTTCATCGACAAGCACAAGAAGAAATTCGTATATTAGAACATTTACGTAAACAAGATCGTGATAATACATTTAATATCATTCATCTATTTGAATGGTTTCAATTTCGTAATCATATTTGTATTACATTTGAATTACTTTCAATGAATTTATATGAGTAAGATTTACTTTTTTTTGTTTTGTTTAATTTATTTAATAAATATTTCTTTTTTTTATTATTATTAAAAAGATTAATCAAGAAAAATCGTTTTCAAGGTTTCAGTTTACAACTTGTACGTAAATTTGCACATAGTATATTACAATGTCTTGACGCATTATATCGAAATAAAATTATTCATTGTGGTAAATGAATTGATTTGATAGAAGATTAATATTTCAATTAATATTATAAATTTAGATCTAAAACCTGAAAATATTTTATTAAAACAACAAGGTAGAAGTGGAATTAAAGGTATATATATATATGAAATCAATTGAATTGAATTTTTAAAATTATTATTTTGTTAGTGATTGATTTTGGTTCGAGTTGCTTTGAACATCAACGTGTTTATACATATATTCAGTCGAGATTTTATCGTGCACCTGAAGTTATCCTTGGAGCAAAATATGGTTTGTTATTTTGTTGATATTATATAGATAAGTTAATGAATAATTATTTTGTTAGGTTTACCAATTGATATGTGGAGTCTTGGATGTATTTTAAGTGAATTATTAACTGGCATGCCATTATTTCCTGGCGAAGATGAAGCTGATCAATTGAGTTGTATAATTGAAGTTATTGGAATGCCTAGTCAAAAATTACTTGATGCTTCAAAACGAGCAAGAAATTTTATTAGTTCTAAAGGACATCCACGATATTGTACAGTAACAACATTACCTGATGGAACAAGTGTTTTACAAGGCGGTAAATAATTGAATTTTATTTTTTCGTCAAAAAGAAAATTGTCAATATATATATATATATTTAGGTCGTTCAAAACGTGGAAAACAACGTGGACCACCAGGTAGTAGAGATTGGACGCAAGCATTAAAAAATTGTGATGACCCATTATTTGTTGATTTTCTTAAACGTTGTCTCGAGTGGGATCCACAAACACGATTAACGCCAGCACAAGCCTTAAGGTAAATAACAAAAAAAACTACATACACTTATCTCATACATAATATGTACTTGAATATATCTTTCTTCTATTATATCAGACATATCATTGAGTTTTGATAAATATTCTCAAGTATCAAAAGCTTTTATATAGTTAAGTAACTAATCTATTGAAATGTCTTGAGTCAAGAATATGATATAATATATATATATAAGTACTTGTTACATAGTTTACTGATAGAACGAAAGAAATTAACCTTAATTATCTGATATATATATACAAATCTTCTAGGCATTCTTGGCTTCGTCGTCGTTTACCAAAACCACCATCTGATGCTCCACCACCAAATCGTCCATCAGCTGTACTTCGTCATCATCATTTGCATACTGTCCAACAAACTGCATCAATGGGAGATACAAATATCACCGGTGGTATAACAAATAGTAGTTCAGCTGTTAATAATAACGTATATGCAACTCATCATTATCAACAACAACAATTATATAATACTGCTAGTAATTCCAATTTAAAAAACTTTTCTACAAATGATTTCACTCGACATCAAAAACTACCACATATTAATGGTGTTCACCTTAATTCCACTCACGACTAACAACAACAACCAAAGCGATGTTCATTTTTCATTTCTCTTCCTTGTGTGATGTTTTTTTAATCCCCTAAGCTTATTTTTGTTTGTTTCAATTTTGCACGTTAAAGGTGTTTTTTTCCACCACAATTGTCAGATTTCGCTCTTGTTTCTCTTCACCAACCGTCCATTGATACAACAAAAAAAAGAAATCCCATGTTCTCCAATCGATATACAACTTCTTTTATTCATACTCCCGCGTGAGAGAGATCCTTTCAACAATAGTGACTTGCTTGTCTGTGAATGAGAATGAAAAATATTCTTATTTTATCTATCTTGTTACGGAAATATCGATATATAACTACATATATATATATATATTTTTCTTTTCTCATTATCATTTTTCCTTCAATCTATTTTACTTTAACAGACATTGATGAAACTTTTTCTCACGCTTCCTATGAAATGTAATTATTCTCTCCCTATCTCTCTCTCTATATATATTTTTTTTGTTGAATATCCAAACCATTTCACGCACACACCTACGTACATAAAAAATCTTGTGCTTTCATCTAAAATCAATAAAACGAAATGTGTGATATAATTTTGTATCAGTGCATGTGTTTTGTTTTGTATTTGTCATTATTTCTTTATCTTTTCTTTCTTTCTTTTTTTTGAACATACACAAAAAGAAAAAATTTATCGATGTGTCTTGTTTTAGTTTTTTCTTTTTGTCGCTTAAATAGTTTTATAATAACAATCAAGAAAAAAAACAACAACAATAAGATCATAATGTTATCTATTATTCTAACTTGTAGATCTTTTAGAAAATAAAGATGCAATCACCATCTTTTTTTTCTCCACCAAGAGAATTATCACGTCCTGGAACTTCTCTCAATATTCATGCACGTCGAGCAGAAGCACGTGATGCTAAAAAAGCGAAAAATCTTATACAAACATATACAACAGAGGTATTTGGTCGTATAACTCGTGAAGAAAATATTTCTTCAATTTTGTAAGAAAAATTTCTATTGATATTTTTTTTGATAAAAAAAAACGAGAATTTTATTTTTAATCTAAGGGAAAATTCAACATTTTCTTTAACATTGGATGATAATGATGATGAAGTTTATGCATTAGGTGCTTTTTATGACTATCCAAATGTTCATGGTGTTCCATCGAATGATTGGGAAGAAAAATGGTGGAAAAATTCATTTGATAAAACAAATGAAACATCAAAAATGAATGCTATTAATACAGTTTTCTTACATTTTTTTGTTTCACATCCAGATTTTTCTGAAGGATGTGCGGAAGAATTAATCAATGTTACTTTTAAAGCATTACCAGAAGTGAATCAAATTTTACTTTGTGTACCACCAAAAATTACACCAGGTTTATTCATTCCGATATTTTATAGATGAATTTCATGATTTTATTGTATATTTTTTCTAGAAAGTGCTTTAACAAAATATTTTCATCCAATTGAAAATGAACGAACAGATAATAAATGTTCTATCATGGTATGTTATCGTAAAGATCATTTTCCAGCATTATTTATTCGAACAGCTCGGTAAAAATATAAACAAATTTTTTATTTTCTTTGAAACTCAGAACAAAAACATTTTTGTTCTTCTAGAGTACAAGATAATGATGATCTTGCTCCATTATTTAATCAATACAATGAAATTTTAAAACAAACGTATGGTGATTTTTTTGTTGCTGAACTTATTGAATCACAAGATGCGGACAATAAAGCATTAGTAGCAGAGGTAATTTAAATTTAATATATAAATTGATACATTCTATCATTTAAAATATAGTGTAATGGTTATGCTATTGGTTTTATGAGTATATCCAAAGAAGTCAATATTGATGTACTCAATGAAATTTATGTCTTATCAGCATTTCATGGTTTACGTGCAGCACATCCAGATGATCAATGGAATGATCAAATGACAGAAGAAACGGAAAGTTATTTACCAAATTCTGATATACATAATCATGGTGATGTGACATCACATGGTGATGCAAATGCTCATTTAAAATCAAATCCAACACTTGAAGCTATGCAACGAGCTGTTGGAACTGAAGGTTCTGTTGAACAATCACAGCAATTATCGACTAATGCAGATAAAAATAATAAGCATGTAAAATCAAACGAAGGACAGCTTGATCATAACAGTTTGACAGCATCAGATTACACAACAACACCAACCAATAAATCAGTAGATGATTTGACTAATTTGAATGGGTATGTAATAAATCTTAGCAGAATTCTTCTAAGCAAAACATGAGTAATGTTTATTATTATTATTTTTTGAATAGAGATGAAAATATTAGTAATGATGATAATAATGATGCTGTTTTGGAAATAACTGATACATCGTCACAGCGAGCTAAAATGACCAAAGCACAAGTAAATTATTGTTTCAATTAATATGAATTTTGAATTGCAGTAATTCCATTCAATATGTTAGATTTTCATATAAAACTGATTTACTAGTCATCGATGATCTTAGGATAGTCAAATAAAAATCTATTTATTCAAAAACTTTTTGGACTAAAATCATAAAAAGATCATTTCTCTATTTAACAACTCTACTATACAATTGATTTCTTTTTGTATTTATAGTTAGCAGCAGAAAATCCATCCAAATATATTAAACCAAGATTGATTAGTCAAACGCCAAAGTTTTTTGGAAAAGAAAAAGCATTTGCTATTCAATTATTTTGTATTAGCGAAGTATATGAAAAACGGTATGTTCTATTCAACAACAACATAACATTTTAAATCAATGATTTTTCTCATATTTACATATTAGTTCTTATGATTTTCTCCAAAAAGCTTTTGATATGTTTTCTGATCGTGATTATTGTATTATATCAATACCACAAATGGTACCTGAATTTCCACTTTTACAATCATTCATTGTATGCTTTATTTTTATGCATATTTTTATTGTGTATAAAAAATTTTCTAGCGCATTCCACCACGTGTTCATTTACCAAATATTCAAGAATTATATTTATTCCATCGTGCTGGTTTATTACGTGACATTTCTATTGAACGTGCTACAGAAAAAAATCTTGATACCGTTAATCGACTTACAGAACATTTTTCATCACGTGAAAAGATTATGAATGATTTTTTGGATGCTGTACGAAGTCGAAAGCGAACTGTAAGTATATTCATTTATAACTAATCGAAAAGATTAATTAAGAACTCTAAAAAAATTTATTTATGTTTTAGGATACAAAAGCTTTTCTTGATGCTTATATTATCAATGTTGCTAATCAAACAAGTGCTGTGATTATTTTTAGCAATGAAGATGTTCGTTTATTTTTCTTTTTCGATTATTTATTAAATTCATATTATATTTAGAATATTGATTATCTTCGTTCACAATATAATCTTGAAGATTTCATTTATTTTGATTTACATAAACGTTATGATCATCTTCATCTTTATCATTTTGTAATTAATCCAATATTTGCTTTTATGACAAAATTATTTTTGAAAGAAATTTTACGTAAAATTAATAAAACATGTATTTATTATCCAATTTTTCCACGTTATGCAGATGATGAAGTATAATATTCTTTGTAAATAAAATATCTCTTAATATTTTATATCATTATTCAGGTGCTCAAACATCATTCACCAACATATGCTATTCATTATTTAGTACCAGTACGTCCTCGTCGTTTAATTCAATATAATTTAGAAGAACTTAAAATGAATGCACCAACCGATTGTGTACTTGGTAAATTACCAAGTTTAACACATAGTCCATTTTCATTAACTATGACGTCTATTAAATTACTTTCCGAAACAAAAGTACAAATATAGAAAGAAAGAAAACGGAGATAAATAATAATTATATTCTATTTTAGATAACAATTAATGCAAGAATTGTTATTGTTGGTGCGTCAACTGTTGGTATGTTTTAGAGAAAATTTGATGTTGATCATATTTTATTTGAATAATGTTTAGGTTTGGCTGTACTTGAATCTCTTATTATGTGGTAAGTGTACAAAAGTGAAAATAATTTTCTAAAATGTCTTAGAGCTCATAACATGTCTTACAAACTACCACTAGTATACTTTCTATCAGAGAGTCTACAGTTCGTAGGACTAATCTCGAATGTCAAAGAAGATTATGTTTAATAGTAAATTAACAATAATATGTTTTTTTTTTCTTTCTAGTCCTTATCTTCGTTTCAATAATCTGACATTGATTTCACCTCATGGCATGCCAGGTGAATTTCCACCATCACATACTCGTGATTTATTTTTACCATCAAAGTAAATAAATTTCAAATAAATGATCTATATTGTTATTCTTTTAATAGTCTTGAATATGACACAGAAGAATTAAGTCGTCTATCACTTCGTTCTTATGTTAATATTATATGTGCGAAATTAGTTAGTCTTAATCGACCAATGAAATTGGCTATACTTGATGATGAAACAGTTATTCCTTACGATCATTTACTTTTATGTACAGGCAACCAATATCATGTTACTGCTCCAATGAAAACTGTTGTTCAAAATCCATTGAATAAACAAATTGTACCAGCAAAAGCTGATCGAATTTTATTTGGTATATTTGATATAAAATTCTTTTAGGAAAAAAAATATATTGTCTTTACTTTTAAGAACCTGCTCCTCCGAATGTATTAACAATTAATGATGAATTTGATGCTGCTATGGTACTTAAATGGCTTCGAATGAATCAACATACTGAACGTAATAAAATTTAAAAAGACCTATTTTATTCACACATATATATATATATTATAGATTCTATTTTAATTTATGGATCAACACTTGAATCTTATTGTTGTATTAATGCACTGATTGCTAATGGAATTCCATCAAATTCTATTAAACTTATTACTCCTCCTGGATCTCAACAGGTAAAAACTATACTTTTATCATTTTTTTTCTATCCTATATTTTTAATAATATTGATAGATAAATGTTTTTAATGATCCAACTGTATTACGAACTGTTCAAGATGAACTAAGAGAATTAAATATTGAAATATATGAAGAATATTTAATGGATGAATGGCGTAGTCAAGAGATAGATGATATGGATCAACCAATTGACCATGTTGTATTTCATTTCCATGATAAAAAACAAGACAAGCACAAAGATCTTAGTTTAAAATGCACTGTAAATAGAATTTTGATTTGAATTTAATAATCATATTTTAATATTTAGACATTATTATGTTTTGTTAATAAACAAGTTAATTATAATGCATTTGTAGCAATAAATCAGAGTTCATTAGTATTTGATGGACGTCTTGTTGTTGATGAACATAATCGTACAAATGATCCATTAATTTATGCTGGTGGATCTTTAACAAAATTTAAACGAGGTTACCATCGTGATGATTGGTCACATACATGTTTTAATTCGAAACAAGTCGGAACAATGGTTTGTTTTTATTTTATAAATATTAATGATTTTGTTTTCTTTAAACAATTTATGTTTAGCTTGCGAATGAATTATTTACACAATATGATCCAATATTTACTCCACCAAAAACATCATCTGGCAAACATCCACTTATTCCATTATATAATAAATCAAAACGAGTTTCTGCTGTTTTACCAGGTTAATTTCAAATTATTAAATAGTTCGAAAAAAAAGAAGGAGAATTATATACTTTCCCTCATGAATCGTAATACATGAGTATCCAAAGTCAGTGGCGGATTTAGGGACGGAGGCGATCGCCTTCCCTGCTTCAGAAAACTTTTTCGATTTTCTACAGCAAAAATGAACGAAAAAATAGGTTTACACTACTTCGATTGGACTCAAAAAATAGTTTTTAGCCAAAATCGCGCCCCCTTCCCCAGGTATCGCCCCCCCCCCCCCCCCTTCCAAAATCCTAGATCCGCCTCTGTCTAAAGTATGTGCTTCGAGTAATAGTAAAAAGGAGTACAGCTAGTCATATCTTGGAAGCCAATTTGTTCTATAGTTTAATTTAGTTCACAATAAAAGAATTTTAGATTAAAAACTTTAAATTTGATATATCGATATATGAAATCAAAAAAAAATAATAGAAGTGATTGTTATATTTATGCATAAAAAAGCAATATCTTAATAAACTCTTGAATTTACAAGTTAATCACATTTATCTGAAAAAAAGATTTTATTATTCATATTGAAACAAAAAAATTCATTTGTCATATAATATACAATCATTGACGATTCAATATAATCGCTTTTTTTATGATGAAATAAATTAATTTTTGAAGTATTCATTGTAAAACTTTATTTTGAGTGATCATAAATGTATCATTTAGAAACTAAATGAATCTATAATAATCATAATACGAGTTTCAAACGAAAGTTTTTTTTATCGCAATTAATATATCTGATATGTGTACATCCCCAGTCAGAATTATTCACAAGATCTTTCATGTTAAAATAAGTACTATTTGTAAGAATTATGTTTCTTTAGCAGTACAAATCAACAATTTTTAATTTAGGAAATCTTCATTATCTTCAAATAAGTCAAGCTGGTCCTACAGTTGATTATGAAAAAGCGAAAAAAATTGAAAATTATGTAATTATATAATTTTTAGTATTTTATTTTCAAAAAAGTCTTTGACTAAATTTTAGGGTACTGATTTAATAACAAATCATAATAATAATTATTTCCGTCTTCATCTTGATTCAACTGGTATTGTTCGTACTATTGTTTGTCTTCATCATACTGTAAGATTAAATTATCAATAAAATAAATATAAATTTTTTCAAAAAATAAATTCATTTAGAAAATTGATGTTACAAATCTTTCACAATTATATGGATTACATGAACGATTACTTAATAATCTTCGACAACGTTATAATGAACATCTTATTACTGATTTATTTACGTATGTATTTAATATTAGATTTGATTATCTCATTTATATATTTGTTTTATTTCGAATAGATATTTTCAAGAGAATTGGACTGCTGTTTTGTATCATGATCGTTTTAATGATGTTCGAAATGAAGTTCGTGATATTTTGAAAAAAACACTGGTATAGAATTAATCAAAATATTCCTATAGTATTTTAATTTTATTTCTTTATTTAAGATGAATAATGAGAAATCAATTGTTTCAACACTTGATTCAGCTATTGATAATGATATTGCAGTAATTTATTTGACAAAAAAAACTCACAGATATATAGAAAATTAAATCAATTTTTTTCTTTCTTTTAGTTTGGTGAAGATCAAAGGAAAGCAATATTGAGACGATTCCGTGCTGAAGGTTATAAGAGTGAAATTGAAGAAATTATGCTACGTTACATTAATTATAATCAATATCATTTACCAATGTACGCAAGACCAACTTGAATCTCCGAATGATTTTTATCAGAACTAATTTGAATGATTTCTTTTTTTCTGATTATCTTACCTTAATGAATGAAATAAATCTAAAATAAAACATAGTTTTTTCTTTTTTTGAATTTTAATTAATCATATATTTTAAATAACTGAGAGACTTTATCAAGAATCATTGTTGTTTGTTATTTGACAAAACAGAAGAGAAAAAAAAAGAAAGTAAAACAGATGTTAATGAACTAAGACATAAAAATGCAAACAAGAATGTTCGATTTTTTTCTTTCATATTAAAATGACTGTTGGTTGAAATGATGAGGAACTTTAATATAAGTTTTTCCTTTTTGTATTGTCTTTAAATAGGACTACGTGGATTAGGATCTTTGGTTACAACAATTTGTGGTTGTTGTCTGAAAATATATGTGTACATAATTGCAGCAATACAAGAGCCAGATAAGGGACCAACCCAATATACCCAATGATTTTCCCATGAATTCATAACAGTAGCAGGTCCGAATGATCGAGCTGGATTCATCGAAGCACCAGTATATGGTCCACCAAATAAACAACCTACTATAATTGCTAAACCAACTGCTAAAGCTTTTGAACCACCGATATCATCTCGATGTTTATCACAGATAGCATGTACTGTATAACATAAAATAAATGTAATAATAGCTTCAACTATAATAGCTTGTGAAATTGAAACACCCGGAGTGATTGTAGTTAAACCTAAATTTCCTTGTGTTTGAGAAGGTGCTATTAATGTTAATAGACAAGAACCACTAATTCCACCAAGTAATTGCATACAAATATAGCAGAATGCTCGTACAAAATCGATTTCACATGCCACTAAAAATGATACTGTTACAGCTGGATTAAAATGAGCACCACTTATATTACCAAATCCAACGACGAGAGTGGCAATAACAAAACCACCAGCTAAAGCACCATGTAGATCAGGTACAGATCTAGATGCAATGGGTAAGCCAGTAGACGTACATACTAATGTGAGTAACATTGTGCCAATAAATTCACTAAGTAAAGCTTGATAAAATGCAAATGTTGCTATTTGTGATATACAAAGTGCATTTGGATGTAAACACGATTTGCTAAGACAAGTTGGTGGACATCGAAATATGTATTGACCAGATGTTGTATGATAATCACAACAACTTTTAGTAACAAACGATGAACGACGAGGTCTTTCCGGAATGTTCCGCATACCCATACCACCATTGCTTCTAATACGACCTTGATTATCCTGTGTTTCCTGGATAAATGGTGAAAGTATTTCCATTGGTGTCGTATGACAATCAATCGATGCAGATGGATGAAAACTCATGTTTGATAATTATTATAACAAAACAAAAAAATCTGAAGAATAAAATGAATATATTCATAAATATATATATGATCAAAATTAGTTACGAAAACATTGTACAACGCCTTTATTGACGTTACAATCGTGCAATGATCGATTATGCACGACTATCGATTTCTGTCCTGTTTTATATTCTTAAAATGTTTCTTATAACTCAAAACAATTAATTAATTAAATTTTATATATAAAATATAAAATTTTCAATAATTAAAATATCTTAGATATCTGATGAATATATATCACTCTCTTTCTTGTTAATACAAGATTATTTTCAAATACGTGAAAAAAAGTCACCTTATTAAAATTAATATCAACCTTTAATATCTATAACTAATAAAAAATATAATCATTTTTTTAATCTACGCAAATATTTTGAAGGTCAATTTTACACATGAATAACTTAGTTACAGAAAATATGGTGTTAAATTTTTTTTGTCTTGAACAACATTCTTACTTATTTTGTATTTGTTTTTGATGTCGAATGATTAACAAAAGAAATCATGCTACTATCAATCTTTTCTTTTTTGTAGTCATACACTACTTATGAAATAGAAGCATTCGAACAGCATTACAACGCAAAAAAATATAATTGATCTATAGGCAATCTTATGCATTGCATCAGACACTCGTCGTTATAAAAGTTTTCTTTGTGGTTCAGTACAAAATCGAACCGGAATGGAAACCAGTTTTTTTGTCATCATGACGCGCTATATATACATATACAATCATAACAAATTAGTCAACGAAACAGGTTTTTTTCTTTCGTTACTGTTGTCTATACATCTAAATTATTCATACAGAGTTTTTTTTCTCTTTCATCGTCTTGCTGACGCATGCAGAAAATATGTATGTCTATTCAAATCAATTCAGTAAAGAAAATCTTCTTAAAAAAGAATGTAAAGAAGTACTTTTTCAAGTTCTTTTTAAAAATGCACCGTCAGCATCAATAATAAGACAAATTGAATATAGGATTCTTAAATAAACATTAACTCTCTCTCTCTCTCTACGTATGTATATTGAGTAAAGTAGTTACAAAGTGTTGAATTAATGTAAAAACGATTAAAAATTGTATAACGTAGACTAAAAATACGTTTTATACTAAATAACTTAGTTAAAAGCAAAATAAATATATGTATATACATATAATCGTACAAATTATTGACATTGAACAACAAATCACCTACTTTAATTTTAATCAACGTTATCAAATGATTATATCTAATTTGTATTAGTAAACAACGTATGAAGGAAGAAAAATATAACGTCCTTCATTTTTTCATATCAGTTTATATAATTATTATATAGTCAAAGGCAAGTTGAAAATCGTGTGACCGTACCTTAATATATGGCATGTAATCGTTTTGCTATTTAATTAGTGGTGCATAGTAGAAAAAAAATGAAAGTGAATCAGAACTATGAGAAAGCAAAAGGAAATACATGATAATTTTGTTGGAGACAAATATTTTTTTTTGAAATTATCATGTTTTATTGATTTTTCGGATAATGAAACCAATAATTTGAGTACATGTAACATTAGAATGTTTATACCAACAAAAAATTTTCTTCAGTTAATATTTTCCAACTTGAGAAATTCGATAACAATGCTTTTTTCTGCAGTTCGTTAATCCATTTCAAAATAGATAAATATAAAAACAAATTTTTTTCGTTTGCTTTCATAAATATTAGTTTAAATTATTTGATAAAGATCATATTCCTATGTTAACGAATACTAGGAACATTTATTTTAACTTTATGTATCAAAATGAAAGAATTCGGTTGCAATTAGAAAAGAGGTCAATAAATAACAATTTGCTATAATTAACAAGAAATGAATGTACTAATAAGTTTATACTCCGATAGATAAATTATTTTATAATTAGAAATAAAATTAACGAATATATTTCTCCATGAATTAATAAAGTTATTGTGAAATTATCGAATATTTCAATGTTATAGAAGCTGATTTTTTGAGAAAATGTAACTAGTTTTTTTTAATCGATACAATATTATTCTAAACTTTCATAATTCTATTTTTAACTAAAGAGAAAATCTTTTTTTCTCGTATTTAAAAAAAATAACAAGAGACAACAATAAAGATTTGAATGACAAGAATAAATTAAACTTAAAAAGAAAATCTTTAATATATAGAACTATAAGAATGTTGAAGTGACTTATATATTGACAGTCTAATTCGATATTAATTATTTGTATATTTACTTAGCCTTGCATAAATATAATTGATTATACATAAAAGGTTTAATTTCGTATGAGATTTTGTTTTGATCGATTTTGCGATCAATCGTTTTTTATATATTGAAAAGTCATGAAATAATAAGTTTTATTTATGAATGATTTCACAAATAAATTGAACTATTTCAGATATTATATACATTGAAACTTGTGAGAATTTTTTCTCTTTGATCACAGATAAAACTATAAAAAATTAGGATAATATTCAGTGATTTACAGTGAAAACGCCGAAAGAAAAAATGTCGAAAAATAAATATTGACGCAAATATTCATCGAAAAAAAATAATGTCGATCGTGAGAAATGTCAAAAATTTTGAGATGTCATTACTAAACGAAACTGAGGGTGTGGGTGTAGGTGTAGGTAAAACAGAAATAAAAACGCTAACACCCAGACTCCCACCCACACCCACACCCACACCCTCAAGATCTTTTGTTTTCGATATTTTTTCCTTCGCCGTTTTCAATACATACCTATTCAGTTAATCATAATAGAATATAAATAATAAAAGTATTAAAATTCTTTTTATTTTTCTTCTGAGAACTATGACAATTATTATAATATCAATGATCTGTTACAATCGAAAGTCTAATTACTCGATTCCTTAATATTGATCGTTGTATATATGAAGATAAAAAATAAATCATTCTCCCACTATTTAAGAAAACGAAACATATTGTATATTCATATATCGACGACATCTATCGTTTACTTTTTTTATCTCTCGTTAGTCGGTACATCTTTCACGCGCTTACGGGCTGACTTGAGATTCGTTGATTAAATCAGCAATAAAATTACCCAAAAAAAAATTGACAAAAGAAAAAAGGACGGGCTTTCCTCATTTATGAGCTTAAATATTTTAATAGTCACTATAATACAAGTCTATTTTTCATTGATAAAAATGTTTATCATTTAATTACTGGATAGAGAAGTATTTCTTTCTTTAAGTAAGTAAAAATTGGTATTAAAAAATATCTATTTCTCAGTTTATAAATGATTTTATTTGATTAATTTAAGTTAAATAAATTCTTCTCAGATGTCTTTTGAATCATTAAATTATAATGATTGTTGTTTATTGATTAATATTGATTTAAATCCTCAACGAATTCGTCTATTACTTGAACGTCGTTTTAAAAGTAATTCAAATAAAACAAGTTTTGATTTTAAATCAATTTCTCCTGAACAACCATCGAATAATATTAAAGTTTCACGTTCATTTTTGCGTTGTCAACCAAAAATAAATTATACAGACGATTCAGATGAATATGTATCATCGGATTCGGATTCTTCCGAAGAAGATGAAAAAGACATAGAAGATACATCACCAAGGAACGATGATTATTACAAAGAATTAGCGGAATGGGATCCAAATAATTTTCAACCTAGTATTGCAACTGATGACGACAATGATGATGATGATGAAGATGAAATTGAAAATAATATGCAATCAATTACTATAGAAAATGATGAAGACGATGACGAAATAGATCAAATGGAAACTTCAGCAGGTAGAATCATGAATCAGAGAAATCTATATTTATCATATGTATAATTATTTATTAAATGAATTTCATATCGTTCAGATATTGAATTTCGAATCAATATCATTGATTTCTGTTTTTAGGTAATTATTCGATGATTCGAAATAAAGAGAATTAATATTATTAAGAGATATTTATAACACTGAGGTTTTACTTTGTCAGTAGACGTTCGTTTAAATAATTAATCACTTCTTTTGTATCATCTTATATGAGTTTAATTGTATTGAATAAGAGAGAACTTCCAACCAAACAGTACATTTATAAATACTGTAAACATATTGATTTCGTGAGTGTCAAACTTAAAGTTTAATATATACTACTAGACCTATCAGTAATGCTTTATTTTTTTTTGTTCAAGGTTTAAATACTTCTACTGAAGATCTTGTCGTCACATTTAGTCATCGACCTATGAAAAGCGAACCAGTACCTTACGAAGATTATGATGATGTTTTTTGTAATATACCACAATTAGATGGTCATGTAGATCGTTTACCTAGTGAAGGAAATCGAAAGAATCCCGACAAACGTTTAGACGAAGTAATAACTAAAATTTACGAACGAACTCCTGAACCAAGAAAAGCAATTCAGATATATGCAGTTCCGACAGCAGCAAGTAAATTTCATTTAAAAAATGATAATCAAAAGAAATCAATAAATCGAGCTCAAAGAAAATCATTTTCAAGTCCTGTTAAAATCGATCGATCCAAAGGACAACTCAGCAGAGATGGAAAACAATCAAAAAAACCAGTACCTCAATTATTAAATGCAGTAATGAAAAGTAATGTAGATGCTATTCGTGAATCAGACACACGATTATCATTGAATCAAACAAAACCTCCAGTAAATAGTTTATAAATACATTCCAATAAAAACTTATTATCTTATATCTTTTAAAGATACCTTCTCGACTGTTTTCAAGTAGTGGTTTGCCGTCGAAAACGAATAAACAACAAGATCAAAGAAAACTAATATCACGTAAATTTTTTTTCTGATTTTTTTATTGAATTAAAATTTTTTGATTTCTAGAGCAACAAACAAAATCTTCTTTGGTACCTCAACAAAAAAAAGTTCTACAAAATCAGCCAATTAACCTATCACAGCCGAAAGGAAAACCTGCATTACAACATATGAAAATGGCTCAAAAAAAACTAAATCATTTTCAGGGAACACAACAATCAAAATCATCAGCGGCAACATCATTACCATCATCATCATCGTTATTATTTAATAAATCAAAATCAACAGACAATAATAAAAATCAATCGAAACCATCTAAAGTATTTCTTTCGAATATCAATCCAAATAACTTATATAAAAACAATCTTTATTTATCTAGGCAATAGATCCACTTGTTCGAAGATCTTTGTCAACATCAGTAACTCCAAATTTGAATGATCATAATATAAAACTAAAAAAAATACCAAAGAAAGTTAAACGTTTAAATACTGAACAATCGAATGTTACAATCAATAATTCATCACGACCGCCAGACAATGCATTGCCATACAATAAAAAACAGAAGACAACTGAAGACAATAGTAAGATTATTTTATAATCATTCAATGATATATTATCTTTTGTTGTCTTAAATAGCAACCAAAAATCAATTAATCAGTCATCCATCGGTACCATTAACTACCATGACGAGTATGACGAGTACCAAAACTACAACTGGTAAACGACCAGCTGATTTCTTCGATGGATGTATTCTCATCGATGATGATGATGAAAAACAAGATAAAGATAATAATACTGAAGATGATGATATACAAGAAATTGAACGACAACAGTGAGTATTGATTAATTAAACATCTTTAGATTACAAATCATATTTAAAGTAATTTCGCTACCTACTAGATATAAGATATATTTTCTCAATTATTTTTATCGAGGATCTTGTCAATTTTGAGTAGATACTTATTCTCGATTCTGAATTTGAGCTGAAGATCAATACGATAATTATTTCATTAGTTTGCATTGGACTATATTGTAACGGATGTATACTCTTTATCATTACTCATGACATTGAGTCGTTTTGAAATGATACTTATATGATACTTTTAATATATTGAAAGAAATTCGTTTCTATTTCAGTCTACTGATCGTTTTGTATATATGAGATTCCTTATCTCACTAATGAATATAATTAACTCGTATATTACATATTTTCTCAAATAATACTAAAAAAGATCTTATTACTAATCAAGTTATCATTTAATTTATTAAAAAAGCTTGTATAAATAAGAAAGATAATTTATTTATTCAAATTATTTCATTGATATGTCAATAATTTATTTTGTTTTCTATAGGTATTCCATTGCTTATAATATACGTGCTCGTCAAAAAGATCTTGATCATATTGTTCATTCATCAAATATGCATTGTAAATGGTTATTCAATCTTGAATATCTTCTTCTTGATCATATACAGATATGCCATGATAATAATCTTCGTCCATCGAATAAAATATATGAACATTCTACTGTAATTAAATCTGAAGATACATCTAATACATCTATTTACCATATTGAACCATCATTTATATCAATAATCATAATAAATTTTATTAAAGTATTTCTTCTACGAAATTCATTTGATGATGAACAAGAATTTTCATTTGTACAATTTGGTATAACATCACATTTACGTTATTTATTAATTGAATTACCAACATATATTCATAATGAAGAAAAAGATTTAAATGATGATTGTTCAAAATGTCATCAATATTCATTAATAATAAATATATTATTTGATTTATTATTTGATTTAATTGAATATGATTTATGTGGAAATATTCGAAAAGCGAAATATCGTTCATCATTAATTGAAGATGATTATTTTACAAGATTTCTTCAATCAAAAATAACAAAAAAAAATCCATTCTATCGTATTAAATTAATAATTTATTTCATTGAAGTCATTGGTATGCATATGAATAAATGTCCAAAGAAAAAACATTTTCAATTTAATCAAAATGAAGGGAAATTAATTCATTCAATTCAAACTTTTATTCGACATATTATGTCGAATACAAATAAGTAAGATTAAACAGAACGATTGATTTCGATTTTTCTTTTATAATTATTTAGTTTAATCAATGAACGAATTTCCGTATGTTTCAATGTGATGGAATTATGTCTTTTATTTGTTAATGAAAAACAAACTCTGATAAAACAGGTTAATTAAATTTTTTGAATAAAATTATTGATTTTTTTTTGTTGATTTAGATGTCGTTATTTTTAGCAGAATTATGTCAAACTAATTCCACTTATTTGAATTTATTTCTTTTTGATGAAAATTTATTTGTGGATATTCGTTTATTATTAATTAATGAATTGATAGGGAACAAATTTCATATAAAATTTAAATCAGTTACTCATATTAATACATTTTTTCAACAGATTCAAGTAAAATTAATGTTTTAAATATGTACACTATTAAGACATATTTTATTTGTTTTAGGATCTTCTAAATCCAAAAAAGGTAAATAATTGATGATATTTAAATAGAAGCATAGAATAAGCACTCATCAAAATTCAGATTTCAAAAAAGACAGTTGATTTTGAACATCTGTCGACTTTTATATAAATAGAATTAAGATGAGGAGGATTTTGTCACTTTCCGCGTATTATGTAAATATAACGCTGTGACGTTTTTGACACTCCTCGCTTGAATTTTCTTTAAAAAATTAACTAGTTGAAAAACCCTTTCTAGCGCCGTTCGATACAATTCCGTTTACTTACTCTCCCATCATTTCGCATATAAACTAAATCAATGCAGTATTGTTTTATCTGAATAAGTCGTATAATAGTTTAACTCATTATGTTTGTATCTTAATAATAGTTTCTTTGTAGATGTGAATTTCTTTCATTTCACTTATTCGTATCGGTTATTAGCATAAGAAATACATTGTACAGACAATCTTGTTGATAGACTCCCTCGCGTCAAAAACTTTTATAATTCATATTTCATTTGTTCTGAACAAAAATAAAGACATTTTTTCGATAACCTATAGATTTCTTTACATTTATAAAATAACTAATGATGTCAAATGCACGTAACTGGTAACTTTTTATCAGTCGTTAGGTTGTATATTCTTTTCTTATCTCTGGTTTATTTACGAAACTAAAATAAAACATACAATATGGTTGCTCTAACTCTGTTACATTTATTATACATAAAATAAATATTTATTTCTAGCCTATTGATGAAACAGCATTCTTACTTCTTCGAAGTTTACTCAGTACTTATGCCGATCTGATTATTGGTATGTAGATTGTTTATGTAAAATTTCAATGAAGATATGTGTTTGTTTTTTCTTGTAGAAATTAAAGCAATTCCTATTATGTACTCGCATGACATTCAACAAATGACATTATTATTAAAAAATCAATTTCAAGTCATATATGATAAATTAGTTGAAGTTTCTTTTGGAGATTCAACTTATTTCGAACAAATCGGACAAACATTAATATTATATCTTCTATTGAAATGCAAATTGAACAAATTGTAAATCAGATTTCTGTTTTTTCGTGTGTTATGTTTTTCATTTATTCGATTGTTCAGTGTAGTCAGATGTACATTTATTGTTCTAATTTTTTT